AAATAAAAATAAACAAATGGGACCTAATGAATCTTAAAAGCTTTGCACAGCAAAGGAAACCATAAACAACATGAAAAGACAACCCTCATAATGGGAGAAAATATTTGCAAATGAAGCAAACCTCCAAAATATACAAGCTACTCATGCATCTCAATATCAAAAAACAACCCAATCCAAAACTGGGCAGAAGACCTAACTAGACATTTCTGCAAAGAAGATATACAGATTGCCAACAAACATATGAAAGGATGCTCAACATCTCTAATCGTTAGAGAAATGCAAATCAAAAGTACAGTGAGATATCACCTCACACCCGTCAGAATGGCCATCATAAAAAAATCTACAAACAATAAATCCTAGAGAGGGTGTGGAGAAAAGGCAACCCTCTTGCACTGTTTGTGGCAATGTAAATTGATACAACCACTATGGAGAACAGTATGGAGGTTCCTTTAAAAACTGAAAATATTACTACCATATGACCCAGCTATCCCACTACTGGGCATATACCCTGAGAAAACCATAATTGAAAAAGGGTCATGTAGTACAATTCTCATTGCCGCACTATTTACAATAGCCCAGACATGGAAGCAACGTAAGTGTCCATCGACAGATGAATAGATAAAGAAGATGTGGCACATATATACAATGGCATATTACTCAGCAAAAGAAAGAAACAAAACTGAGTTATTTGCGGTGAGGTGGATGGACTTAGAGACTGTCATACAGAGTGAAGTAAGTCAGAAAGAGGCAAACAAATACCGTAGGTTAACACATATATGTGGAATAAAAAAAAAATTCGGTTCTGAAGAACCTAGGGGCAGGACAGGAATAAAGACGCAGACATAGAGAATGGAATTAAGGACACGGGGAGTGGGAAAGGTAAGTTGGGACGAAGTGAGGGAGTAGCATTGACATATATACATTACCAAATGTAAAATAGATAGCTAGTGGGAAGCAGCTGCATTGCACAGGGAGATCAGCTTGGTGTTTTGTGTCCCCCTAGAAGGGTGGGATGGGGGGGTGGGAGGCAGACACAAGAGGGAGGGCATATGGGGATATATGTATACATACAGCTGATTCACTTTGTTATACAGCAGAAACTAACACACCATTGTAAAGCATTTATACGCCAATAAAGATGTTAAAAAGTATCTATTATAGAATTCTGACAAGCTCAATGGCAATAATGACATAGAGGTTACTAATGAAGAATTTGGAGTCAGCTTGCCTGGATGCAATTCCTGGCTCCATCGCTCACTAGATATAATATCACCTTGGGCAAATTATATAACTTCTCTGTACCTCACTTTACATATATTTAAAATGGGAAAAATAATAGTACCTACGTCATGGGTTTGTTGTGAGGATTAAATTGAGTAAATGAATGTAAAGGCCTTAGAACAGAATCATAGAGGTGCACAGTAAATGTTGATTCATTATTATTTTATTGTCAATCTGTATTTCCTAGAATCTTTTATATTTTGAAAACTGGTACATTTTCCCAACTATAGTGTTGTCATAGATCTCCTGTAACTCACTACTCCGTTGAGTTTACCTACAGCAATTCTGCTGGGGACATCTGAGTATTATTTCATTGCCCAGTGATGTATATATTTTTAAATTACATTACACTTAAATTCCATTAGTCTACAAGCTCTAAGAAGGCAGAGCTGACTGGCACAGAGCAGGGGTTCAATAATTATAGCATGAAAGAATGAATTCAGAGCACTGAAGTGCTTTCTTACAACCTCAGATACCTTAGGTTTAAATTCCCCCTCAACAGGTTTATGCTCTTTTTCCCTTGACAGAGAGGTTTTAAGTTCCTGTGTTAATAGTAAATTATTTGTCCCTAGAAGGGAGTTGCCAGACTACAGTCTCTTTTTCCCTTGACAGAGAGGTTTTAAGTTCCTGTGTTAATAGTAAATTATTTGTCCCTTGAAGAGAGTTGCCAGACTACAGACTATCACTTCTTTTTTCTTCTTTTTTTTGAAAAGATCTTTTTAAATCATTGATATTGTCTTAGAATCTTTAAAAACTAACTTGGACTCATTGTAAGATTCATGAAACTAATCTTTGTCACTCCTATTAAGTATCCTATACATATAAAATATTACATATGAATATCTATCCACTTGCTACAGGCCCATGTTTCGTCCTCCTTTTTATACATGAACTCATCAGAAAGCTTCATGCAGCCACATTTGATTACGTAGCTTTCTTGTCCCCTTTCTTCCCTGTAAAAAGGATTACTGTGCTTTGGGGCCTCCTTTTTAACTCTGTGCCTGAGGTGAGTGTCTTACTCGTCCAGCTCTAGTCCTGGCCCTTTTCCTCTGTAGATTTCCTTTGCCAAAGGATTCTTCATATCCAGGAAGATTTATCCATTTATTCCAGCTCTACCTCAAGAGGAAAGGCTTTTATAGAAATGGCAAGAGGTCCCTCAACCATCCAGCAGACCAAAGACCTTGTCTCTTTCTATACCTTATTTTGGTGCCATGGTCATTTCTCAAACGTTTACTCCCAGGGCTTCCCTGGTGGTTGAGAGTCCACCTGTCGATGCAGGGGACACGGGTTCGTGCCCCGGTCCGGGAAAATCCCACATGCCGCGGAGCGGCTAGGACCGTGAGCAATGGCCGCTGAGTCTGCGCGTCCAGAGCCTGTGCTCCACAACGGGAGAGGTCACAACAGTGAGAGGCCCGCGTACCGAAAAAAAAAAAAAAGTTTACTCCCTATTGCTGAATAGAAAGGCCTATTGCAGGTACCAAATAGAAATCCTCAACCATAGCCTCAACACAAACATCAGATATAGTTTTAATAGGCTTTGAAAAATCAAACTGTAGCTTCTCATGCTCTGAGAAACCAGAGTCAAGAAGGCCCAGGTATGTGGATAGCTGTTTTCTGGAAGGGGAGGCCATGGTTCTTGCTAGAACAAGAAGGCTCCCATTGGAAGAAAGCTATGCTAGCTTCAAGGTTTCTCTTGTTTTTGTCATCCTTTTTGCCTGCTACACCCATCCTGCCCGCTTGGCTGGCGTGGCTTCTGGTTTCTCCTTAATCACTGGCTTCTACTAGCTGGCCTGGAGCTGATTCTCATTCCATTTTAGTTTTCTGCTGTCCCCTGGCTCCTAAACTTAGCTCACTGTCCATGTTGTTTCTTCCCTTTATTTCTAGCCTTTGCCTCACTATTTTGTGTTCTGGCTCCTGGCCGTGTCTCCTATAGCTACTACTTTGCAGAGCTGAGTTTCACATTTTCCTTAAAGTAATCTCAGCCTTGGCTGACAGATGCTTAAATTAACAGGGTGTTGAGTGGTGGGCAACGCTAAAATAAACCAGCTTCCTAATCTCTTTTCTGTGTCTCTCTACAACTGGTTGTTCTGAGTGTAAACATGGCTCAGTGGGAAGAATGAACACACGCCTATTGGTGACATGACTGATATGCTGAGAATTTCCTTGGCTACGTAAGTTAACCCTCAAAAATCCTGCCTCCTGATTTGATGGACGTCTAAGGAAGAGTTGGGGGTAGATAATAAGAGGGCTGGGTGTTTGGCCAATTTCCAGATTCATAAAAGTTCTCTCTTCCAGGGCCAGGTCCAGACTAAGGCAGTAATTTTCTCCATTAACTAGTGAGCTATCAGTTCTAGAGCTGGCACTTAAAGCTTATTCTCAAATATTGAGGCAGTTTGACTTGAAACTCAATTTGTTCCCTCAATCCACTGTCAAAGGCAAATAGCCAGAGATTTAATGCAAGATGTGGTATACACAGAGAACAGGGGGCTTAAAAACAAATGTGTGGCTCCTGTTCCACGCTGGAAAAGATGACAGTGTTTAACCTGGTGCTTCATGATTTAGTATTCCCTTTCAGAGGTATTTGCTACTTGGTGAGGAAGAGAACAAAGGGAATGGATTATGGAGAAAGAGCCAAGGGTAGGATGGTGAATTTAAAAAGTCACTTTAGGGCTTCCCTGGTGGCGCAGTGGTTGGGAGTCCGCCTGCAGATGCGGGGACGTGCATTCGTGCCCTGGTCCGGAAGATCCCACATGCTGCGGAGCGGCTGGGCCTGTGATCCATGGCCGCTGAGCCTGCGCGTCCGGAGCCTGTGCTCCACAACAGGAGAGGCCACGACAGTGAGAGGCCCGCATACCGCAAAATAAATAAATAAATAAAAAGTCACTTTAAGCATTCTTTGGTTTTGCCTTCCTCTTTTACTTTCCCTGGTCCCAAATTCTTCCCAGCCAGTCCTTGGAACTAAAAGTGATCTGAACTCCCTATCCTAAGGGAGGAGGTGGAGGAAACAGTATCCCATCAGGAGGAATCAGGCTGAGACCATATGCCATCCTCCTGCCTGCCAAGGAGAAGATACCAAGAAACAAACACTCATGCTGAGTTAATCACAAGAGCAAGACCTTTTCTCAAATGGATTACAGAGAAGGGAGGGTAAAGAAGAGCACAGCTGAGAGTTATAAGGATGTGACACAACTTGTATAGGAAATGGGTAGGGGAACAGGGAAAATTCCTGTATCACAAAGGTAAGGCACCTTACCTGTAAGAGTAAAGTAGGAGGTCCCTTGTTGGTTCCTAGGGCAGTAAGGGGCCAGATGGTCAAAGCCATTAGAGTAGAAATGAGGGGAGGTGCTCAGGGAAGCCACTTATTCACCAACTGGGATAGAAATATTTCAATATTTTTCACAACTGGTGCAAATCAGCAGGCTATCAGCTCTGGGTCGAAAAGAGTGAGAAAGATCGCCATGAAGGGCAGGAGGGAAAAGTGTATAAAAGATACCAACACAAACTTTACCAATTTCAGAATTTCACTGTCCATAAGCCAGCCCTGCTTGTGATATTCATGCCATACCAGTGATCCTGATATGGAATTGCTGCCAATATCTTGTCTTGTTTTTGCCCAGCAGGGTTAGCCCACTTTGTTGGGAACTGGGGATGATGGAGAGGAAGGGTGTGGTGCCCCCTGGGGTGCCCATATCCCTCAGGGAAGAAAGGGATGGGGTTACCTTCTTGCAGAGGACCATCTGGTGGTCAAACAGGAAGAAGACCCGTTGCTGGTTGCGGCCGTAGGGCTGGTAGATCCACGCCATCTCCCCAGTGTAGATCAGCTCCGAGCTCCTGTCTAGGATGTCCTCGCCCTGGGAAGGACATGTGATAGTGAGAGGCAGCCAGGCAGGAGGGATGGCCCCTTCACTTGCCTGGAGGCACCTAGAGCTCGGCATAGGCTGGGACAGGAGGAGGACAGAAAGGGCCTGGTGAGGAAGAAAGGATGGAGGGAGGGACCTCTGGGAGTCCCTGAAAGGCTCCATGAGCTATAAAGACCCATACTCTTGTTTACCCTGAGGCCAAATGAGCCCCACTACCCAGGACTGCTATAGTCCTTCTTTGCCAGTTGCTCTCTGGCCCTAGAGGCAGCAGCTACCATGAGGTGTCTGTCTATCTGTCTCTCTCTCTCTTATTCTCCCTCTCTCTTTTTCTCTAAATCTCTCTTTCTGCCCCAATCTTTCATCCTAGTTCTAGACTTTTAGTCTCTTTCTTGTACCTGAAGAGTAAAGCCTGAGCAGGTGCTAGAAGTCTCTCTGTTTCCCAGACAAGTAAAACAAGACAGGGAAGGACAAGAAGGAGATGATGTTTGAAGGAGAGAAAGAGAATCCATTCACCCTCTTAAAATTGTTTTTCCTTCCTTTCTCAGTTCATTAAAATCTACTGATTAAACAGGAAATTTCATCACCTTGGTCTGTTATCCAAAAAGCCTGAATAACTTGCTTATATTTCTTGCTATGTAGAATCAGACACACACACCAAAAACACCTAACACCTAGCTAATTCTATTCTACAGAGTTTCCAAGGGCCTCTTATTTATGGGAACTCTGATATGTGGGGGTCTATGTCAGATGCCAAGCCAGACTTGGCCCTGTTATCGAGGAGCTTACATGTCAGCAAAGGAGTCTAATATAGGTATGCTCAGAGCTCATGGAATGCAAGGCAAACCATGGGGACAAAAAGAAGTGGTCCCCTGACTCAGGAGAATACTTATTGAGCACCTACAGGGATCAGACATTGTGCTACATACTTTCACTCTGTCTCTTCTGAGCATCACAGTAGCCCTGGGAGGTAGATAGTCTTGCTGTCATCTTTATAGTCTGAGGTACAAAGAAGTCAAGTGATCAGCCACAGTCACCCAGCTAGTTAGCCAAAGATCCACAATCCAACCACAAGTCTGCAGCTCCAGAGAGTGTGCTCATTTTTGCCACTATGTTATACTGTCTCTAGACCAAAAAGTCACTGGAGTCAGTCCCTTCCTCTCTCTGGGTCTCAGTTTTCCAGCTGTTAAATGAAGTATGTGAGGATGATCTCTAAGGTCTTAGCCCTGATACTCTAATGCTAAGGTCTCAGCCTTGTACTGAAAAGCTTCAAGTCAACTTTAGAGATGGCGGTTCCCGCATCTCCCCAGAAACAATCAGAGGTAAACAGTCTAGGCAGGGCAGTGGCCCAAAGAGAAGGGTAGCAGGAAATTGTATTCTTGAGCATATCACTTTTTTTTCAGTCTAAGGGATGGAAAGAAAAAGGGGAGCTCAATGGAAATATTTTCTAATAATACAACCTCAAAAAGGACACAGGGAGGGGGAAGGGTAAGCTGGGATGAAGTGAGAGAGTGGCATGGACATATATACTCGATCAAATGTAAAATAGCTAGTGGGAAGCAGTCACATAGCACAGGGAGATCAGCTTGGTGCTTTGTGACCACCTAGAGGGGTGGGATAGGGAGGGTGGGAGGGAGATGCAAGAGGGAGGAGATATGGGGACATATGTATATGTATAGCTGATTCACTTTGTTATAAAGCAGAAACTAACACACCACTGTAAAGCAATTATACTCCAATAAAGATGTTAAAAAAAAAAAAAGAAAGCTCAGAGATACTAGTGTGACTCCAGACTACACCTCAGGGGTTCCCTGGAACTTTGGTAAACACTCCTCCTTGAGGGGCCCACATACTAGCACAGAACTTCTGGAGGCCCAGTGCTAGGAGAAGAATCCCTCAGAGTGTGGGGGTCATGCAAGGTTTTCCTGTTGGAGGGATGGGAAGCTGAACATGGTACCAGTCGGCCATGCCCCACCTTGAGGCAGGCCAGGAAGATGTACTATAGTCCATTTTGAATATGTATGAAGTGAAAGAACGCTATAAAAGGGGCCAATGCTATACAAAGATGGCCAGGATGACTTTTAAAGGCACAACTTGCTAAGCTGAGAATGATCAGACCAGGAGGACTACTCAGTGGCATCTGGTCTACACACTGCACCAGCTAGGAGCAACCCAATTCTATCAATTCTGTTTTAAGTACTTGCCATAAAATGCCACTTGGTGCCACTCTACCAAGAAAAAAAAAAAAACTTGAAAAAATACACCTCTATGCTCACAAAGGTGATTGTTGTCAGTTAACTCATCTTCTCTGTTCCTCAGTTTCCTCATCTTTAAAATGATGATAATAACATTACCAACCTCATTTGGCTGTGGTAAGGATTATATAAGTTAACATATATAAAGTGTTTACAAAAGTACACATCACACTGTAAGCTCCATATAGTGATCGTTATTACCTTGATTATTACTGTGTACCCTAAATCCTGTGCCACATATTCCTATTAATACTCACAACCCAATAAGGGATGTAGTGTTATTTGTCCCCAAACCAGTGTCAGAGAAATTGGAAGTAATATGCCGAAAGTGGCAGAATCCAGGAGAGAGTCGCTCAAAAGTCCATGCTCTAAACCATCAAACCACAGCAAAATAATGATCCCTTAATGGAACAAGCAGCTGCCTTGGAAATTTCTAAGGTAAGAACCTCAAAGACTTCAGTTCTGGGCCCAGTGCTGCCGTCAACTCACTTCCTTCAGAAGTAGCTTAATCACAATCTGTTTCCTCATTAGACAATGGGGCTAATTCAAAGGTTCCTGTTTGGCTCAAATCACATGGCTGCTTGAGAACACGAAATAAGCTCATGTAAGGTAGAGGGACCTCTCAGAGTTTAGAGCAATCAGACTTTGCCCTATCTGCCCCACTGCACTACACAGTTCTTTGCCTTGACCCCTCAAGTGCAATCTCTTCCCACCTCCCACTCCTCCACATGCCTTCTGTTCTCTTCCATTCTTCCAGAATTTTGCTCACACTGTTTTCTCTGCCTGGAACATACTTGCCCTCACTGGATAGTCAAGGCTACATCTCATTCATTGCAATATCCCAATGCCCAGCACCTCATTCTAATTATAGGCTGATTATCTGATGTGGGGTTGTGCCCTGAGCACATCAAGGGAGAAGACAAAGGAAATGCTACCCTTCTCAGAGTTTATATTCAATTCTGCCTGCTAGGAGGAAAGCAGAGAAATAACAAATCTATCCCTCCACATTTGATCTCCTGGTCCAAAGAGTATGCCTCATCAAGCCATTTAGCTTTAAAAAGATGTTTTTGCTGCTGCCATCACGTTGGGCTTTTGTGTTTCCTCCAACTTCTTTGAATTCAAACGTCCAATGGTAAACTGGAACATGCTATTGAGTATTATACAACCAGGCTATGGGGGAAGGGTGCTATGAGGAGGAAATCACAACAACACACAATCAAGTTCTCAAATATGAGCTGCAAACTTGGGATCCTGGTAAAAATCTCCAGAAAGAAAAAAAGATATAAAAGAAGCTGTCAGGGTTACAGCTACATGTAAAAGAATGAAATTAGAACACTTCCTAACACCATACACAAAAATAAACTCAAAATGGATTAAAGACCTAAATGTAAGGCCAGACACTATCAAACTCTTAGAGGAAAACATAGGCAGAACACTCTATGACATAAATCACAGCAAGATCCTTTTTGAACCACCTCCTACAGAAATGGAAATAAAAACAAAAATAAACAAATGGGACCTAATGAAACTTAAAAGCTTTTGCACATCAAAGGATACCATAAACAAGATGAAAAGACAACCCTCAGGATGGAAGAAAATATTTGCAAAAGAAGCAACTGACAAATGATTAATCTCAAAAATTTACAAGCAGCTCATGCAGCTCAATAACAAAAAAACAAACAACCCAATCCAAAAAATGGGCAGAAGACCTAAATAGACATTTCTCCAAAGAAGATACACAGATTGCCAACAAACACATGAAAGAATACTCAACATCACTAATCATTAGAGAAATGCAAATCAAAACTACAATAAGGTATCACCTCACACCAGTCAGAATGGCCATCATCAAAATATCTACAAACAATAAATGCTGGAGAGGGTGTGGAGAAAAGGGAACCCTCTTGCACTGTTGGTGGGAATGTAAATTGATACAGCCACTATGGATAACAGTATGCAGGTTCCTTATAAAACTAAAAATAGAACTACCATATGACACAGCAATCCCACTACTGGGCATATACCCTGAGAAAACCATAATTCCAAAAGAGTCATGTACCACAATGTTCATTGCAGCAATATTTACAATAGCCAAGACATGGAAGCAACCTAAGTGTCCATCGACAGATGAAGAATGGATGAAGATGTGGCACATATATACAATGCAATATTACTCACCTATAAGAAGAAATGAAATTGAATTATTTGTAGTGAGGTGGATGGACCTAGAGTCTGTCATACAGAGTGAAGTAAGCCAGAAAGAGAAAAATAAATTCCATATGCTAACACATATATACGGAATCTAAAAAAACCCAAAATGGTTCTGATGAACCTATGGGCAGGACAGGAATACAGAAGCAGATGTAGAGAATGGACTTGAGGACATAGGGAGGGGGAAGAGTAAGCTGGGACAAAGTGAGACAGTAGCACTAACATATATACACTACCAAACGTAAAATAGATAGCTAGTGGAAAGCAGCTGCATCGCACAGGGAGATCAGCTCGGTGCTTTGTGACCACCTTGAAGGGAGGGATAGAAAGGGCAGTAGGGAGGCAAAAGAGGGTGGGGATATGTGGATATACGTATTCATAGAGCTGATTCACTTTGTTATACACAGAAACTAACACACCATTGTAAAGCAATTATACTCCAATAAATTTGTTTTAAAAAATCTTGCAAAAATAAAGAACAATTAAAGAATGGAAAAAAACAAAATAAGCTGTCAGGGATATGTTCCT